TCAACAGCAGGGAGGCGCGTGTGAGGACCCTCCAGAAAGCTTATCCTCCAGACTTTGCGCCGCTGCCGGGTTACAGAGTTGAGTGTTTGTCCTTGGAAGGCGATTCCCTGCGTGGTGTACTCTGGCGGTCTGCAGCTGAACGTGCTCTGATGTTTTCGATCCCTGGATGGAGAGAAGAGGGCAAGGGCAAGGAGGAGTTTCATCCTTTGCAGGATTTCTGTAAGCATTGGTTGCCAGAAGCAGACGAGATGGAGTGTCTTGATTTGTTGACCAACACACAGCGCCCTGTCACGTGGAAGCTCGAGCAAGTCGCGAGACGATTGGACTGTTCACCCACGTTTTCTGGTGTGCAAGAAGCCTTAGCCAAGCGCTTACTGCGATCTTTCCCTGAGGATGCAGGTGACTGCCTACAGAAATTCTGCTGTAGATTGTGTCCAACCGACTGCGCAGATGCAAAGTCCTTCAAAGAGCACGTCGCACAGGAGCACGCTGGCGTCGGGCTGCAAGATACTCCCCGGATGCTGATTGAGTATCGCAAGAAGATTCTCGCTCTTGTTGAGCACGCAGGACCTCTTGTGTCTCGGTCGATGTCTTGGACGTATTTTGGTGTTTCACGTTGTAACTTTTTCCTGACAACTCCTGTGTGGACGCCGTTCTGCGGAAGCGCAACAAGGACTAGACATAAACAATCTTTTCGGTGCACAAAGGCCAGTCGCGAGCTGAAAAGCGAGAGTAGGCCGGTTTTTCTGTGAGACAGTCAAGTAGTCAATGACAAGCGTAGGGCATAGTGGTTGGTGAACTACATCTCAGAAAAGCAGTGTCCTAGAGTGAAGGAAATGTTATCGCTGCTCGCATATCGATTGTCGCGTCGCCTTTGACAAACTCGTTATATGTTATGAACACAAAACTGCTTCTTGTCATGTCAGGTGGGTGATTTATATGTCATAGTGTTGTATGGGAGGTGTTTTGTTGTTTATGGCATTTTATGTGTGATACATATTTGGTGTGTCCGAACGTGGATGATCGCTGAGGTACCAGGTATGAGCAGACAGAGGACAATAGCTGCCAACTTTGATGAGCGCTTGCGTTGCCCTGCAGGCACGAGTGAGGAGGGCCGAATGGAAGCTGCCTGTGTGGTGTGTGCTCGACGTTTTTGGGCGCATGAGTTGAACAAGGTGCTACTCTTCACCGATCCTGCCCAAGCAGAAGGGCTACCACAGCTCCCGGATGGAGTGGATGCAGCAGTCCGTCCATCCCAGCAGCATCGACTGTGCCGCCTGCTGGGAGTTCCACGCTATGCTGAGCGCTGGCCGCACATTGCTTTGGAGGAGTTGCAGAAGTCTGCCGTTGAACATCCTTTCCTCCCAGGTGAATATGTGCTCTTGCACCGGCGGCGCATGCCGGAAGACGCACGACAGCCGTCCCCTGTTTGCCGGGACTGCCGCACCAGCCTGACAGCCCAGGTTCTGACCTTGCCGCGCCACGCCCTGGCGAATGACCTGTGGCTTGGCAGAGCCTTGCCAGAGCTTCGTTCCCTCTCCGCGGGGACGAAGCGGCTCTTGCCCCTGGTGCGTGTGTGCATGCAGGTCACCGTCCTGCAGCCGGTGGTGCTTCCCCACGCCGAACGGCAGAAGGGCTTCATCGGGAACACCATCTTTTTGCCGCAAGCTAGTCCTTCCTCAGTCGAAGCAGTGTTGCCACCCCGCGCAGAGGACATGGCCGAGCACATCTTGTTCGTCTTGGTGGGCCACAACAGAGGCGACCTGCGATCGTCGGCCACGCTGCAGGCACCTCGAGAGGAATACGTTGCCGCTGTCGAGCGCCTCCGACAAACTTCCAAGTACTACGCGGAGGCAGCGGTCGATCTCAGTCGATGGTCTGGCCAGGAGGAGACTATGTTTGAAGGCTGTGTCCTTGAGACGGACGCAGACAGCTATTTGGCGAGAGAGCTCTTACAACGGGGACCGGCGGACGCTCAAGGCCAAGAGAGCAGCCAGCAGGAGGAGGACGACGCTGGCATGGCGGAGGACGCTGCGGAGTCCGGCGAGCGAGCACACGAAGACTCAGGACAGTTGCGTTTGGTCTGTGGGTTGGTAGGTCGTCGTCTCACATTTGAAACTACTGATTCTATATAGATAGACATATACAGATAGTGATCTCTCGTTGCTTGGCTAACTTCTTGGCACTCCTGCTTGGTCAGGTCATCTGATTTCCAGCATAGTCGGCCTGAATGACACCTCGGACGATGAGAATCGTTGGTTGCGGGTTTGCCGAGATGTGGAGGATCTGTGTCGTCGAAAGCCTCGACAGTATGACACTGATGCAGAGCTGGTCGTGCGCAATCGGGCCAACAATGACCTGGGTGTGGGTGCTGCGCAGATGGAAGGAGCAAATCTACTGGGTCGAGAAGGCGCGCACGAACGTGGAGTCCTTCGTCGCATCCGCCAGGTCCAGACTGTGGCCGCGCATGGGGTGGAGACAGAGCGACAAGCGCAAGGGCAGATGTTTGAGGTCAGGCCACAGAAGTTGGTTGTGCCTTCTCGAGATACCCCTCTGAGCATGTTTGAGCCAGGGACCTGGGCAATGGCTTTTCCTACGTTGTTCCCTTGGGGTGACGGGGTGCCTTTCTTGAAGAGGGAGACGAGCATGGAAGCTTCTGAAGTGTTTCGTTATTTTCTGGGCTGGATTAACTGTTCAGCAAACAGCTGTGCTGCACCTGGAGAGGCCGGATGGTGAGCTGGTCCGGCTGGGATGCAACTATCCGGAAATGTATCTTCTGATCTATTTCCACGTGGAGGAGAGATGTAACACATACCTGCAAGATGGCTTCTATACTGTTGCAGATCTTCTCGCCTACGTTGTCCGAGGAACTTCCATGACTGCCAGTGATGTGTCCTTGGTCAATGTAGATCACCACGGCTGTCTGGAAGTCCAACCGAGTGATGTTTTATCTGAATTCATCCCGGCTTGGCGGCAAGACGTGGAGCGAGGCGACCTCCATGTCGAGTACCTTGGAAATTTGCCTGTCTTCCACTTCGCACCGCGACGACGGGCACCTAGACGGGGAAGCTGAAGGGACGTCGACACAGACGGACGTCGTTCTACGAAAGTTTGTGTTAGCGACCCACGCTCTGCGTGTCCGTGACTTTGCAGCCGGCAGAAAACGACGAGTCTCCGTGCGCCTGACGACACAACCGGTACTTTTGGAGAGACTCTGTTTCAAGGCGGATACACACTTGTTGCCTTTAGCTCCTCATGTTTTTCTCTGCATGTCGTTTTATATGTTTAGATAGCTGCTTCTACTCAAGTTTCTTTTTTGCAATGGTGATGAGAAGAACTCTGGTTCTCTGTTACACTTGGCTTTTCAAT